TCGCGCCCGCGGAGAGCACCCGCCGCGCCCTCCCGCCGCGCACGTGCGCTGGGGTCTCCCGGGCGCAGTCGGGTCCCCACCGCCAAGTGCGCACAACTTACTTAACTCCTGGAGAGGGCGGAAGGCAGGAGGGCAGGCACCGGCCAGGCGCAGAACGCGCGGCCCACCTGGCGCAGCCTCCGCGGCCCCCGCTAGCCGAGCGCGCTCCGGCACGACGCGCTCCCAAAGAGTCCCCGGCGGCGCGGACGCGGAAGCGGCGCGGCTCACCACGTCGGTCTTCGGGACGAGGCGGCGGCCCTCGGCCCTCTGGACTGGGCGGGCTGGAGACGCGCGGGCGCAGGCGGTTGACAGGAGGAACCGCCGGGCGCAGCCGCGGCGGCTCGACAGCCGGAACCCAAGCGGGCGGCACCGAGGCGCCCCTCGCCACCGCAACGGTTGCGCCCCAGCCCGGCTCCCCTCAGCGCCGCTCCACCTGCAACGGTCCCTCGGGCTTTGGAGAGGGGCGGGGAGCCGCGGGGGTCTCCCACCTGCGGCCTTTCTCGTGGCAGATGGTTCGGGAAACTTTACTCGTCAGTCCCTCTCTGTCTCGCTCGCCCCCTCCCCGGACAGCCCGAGCGATCGCCGTGGAGTGGGTAGGAAGAGGGAAGCGCAGAGTCTCTGGCGGCGACAGGGAGCGACTGACTGACCCCGGACGGAGATGGGGCGAGGGCAGGAAGTGACAAGCTCACGGAGTGGGTGGGGGGAGTGTGGCCGGCACGCCCGGCAGCGTGACGCGCATGCGCCCGGCCCGCACCCCCTCCAGTGGGGAGCCGAGGACGCGCGGGGCCGACCAGGGGCGGGTGAGCGGGCGGGCAGCTTGCTCTGAGAGCCTTGGGGCGCGCGCGTGCGTCTTGCCGCCGGCGGCGTTGGAACGCGAGCCCTCCGCTGTCTGCGTCAGGAGGTGTGAGAGCCGCGGGGCGCATTCGCCCCGGCACGAGCTGCTGGGCAACCAGACTGTATAGGTCGTGCTGCCATCTGCGCACTCGAACCCACCCAGGAGGGTGGGAAAGGCGGCGGGGGAAAGTAGGAAGGAGCCGAATAGGCAGGGTGAGCGCCTAGTCTAGGCGATCCGAAAGGCTGGCAGTACATTGCAAAGGGCAAAACTTTTGCTGTTTGCTAGCCAGCCTTTCTGTAAGTGTACCCCCAGAAACCTGGGGAGGAAAATGATTGATCCGTATTCCTGCAGCGTTCTGCGAGTGCGAACCTGTAAGTGAAGTTGGGTCACATATGCACTTTCCCTTTATCGTGCCAGCATCCTGCTTGGAAAATCCCTGAAGATCAAAAATGACTGCCTTCTGTCAAATCTGCCAACCTAAGGCTGCTGTCCCGCTTTCTTCCCAGCTCTGAGAATGGAATCCTTGCACTTAGTAACTTCAAATGTGTCCTGGATTGATCAGGACATTTTTTTAAGGACAGAAGTACATTTGCACTTTTATGTTCTTCTCAAGATCAGTGGAAAACCACAGTTGTCTAACTTACGCTACCAACTTGCTGGGTCATGAAAAAGTATAGTAGGTAGGTGCAAGGTGTTTGATGTTCAAGGCTTTTTGTTTGTTTGTTTTTTTGGTTTTTTTTTTAGATGGTCTTGTTACAATAGCCCAGGCTGGCCTGGGACCCACTGAGTAGCCCAATTTGACCTTGAACTCAGGTTTCTCCTGCCTCTGCACCTTCCTCTCCTCAATGCTGAGGTTGCAGGCTGGCCACCACACTTTCTGTGTTTGGGAAGAGAAAAAGAATCACCAAAATCCATTTTCAAAATCCAAAAGAAAGTTTGTAAGTGAATAGAGTTACTGTAAACGTCTAGAATGGAACATTCGTATAGGTCTTGGCAGACAGTAAGCAGGATAGAATAAGAAGTGATCTGTAGACACACCAACTAGCCACATAGTGTACATGGACTCTTAGTTCTGCCCCTCTGTCAAGAAACATCACCCAACATGAAGCAAATATTATGCACTGTCACAGATTATAAATCAATATACAATAAATTGGTACTTCTATATAAGGGTATTATTCAACTACCAACTTATATTTAGGGTTGGGGAGATAGCATAGTCAATAAAGTAGGTGTCAGACAAGCATGAGGTCCTGAGTTTAAGACTAAGGACACACGTAAGGGGGTTAAAAGCCACGGACTGTGGCAGCACACCTGCAGTCCCAGCACTGGGGAGATGAAGTCAGGAGACCTGTGGCTTGCTGACCTGCTGTGATGGCTGAGCAGATGAACTCCAGGTTTGGTGAGAGTTCCCATCTCAAAAAATACATTGGAGAGCAATTGAGGAAGGCATCCAACATGGACCTTTGGCCTTTACTCACAAACTTAACACATGAACACAAAAACTCTATTTTGTATAATATTAGCTATATGGTATATGCTTAAGCCAAAAAAGTGTTTTATGAAATGTGATGGATGCTACAATGAATTATAGATGCATTTGTTTTCTTTTTTAATATTTTCATTGAGAAGTTCATGCAACCTGTTTTGATCATATTCAGATCCCCTCCTCCAGCACCACCTCCACCTTACTATACTCCCACCCCCCAAATTCCTGTCGTTCATTTTTTTAAGGACTGTAAGAGTCTAATTTGTGTTCTCAAATTCTCTTCAGTGAAGGTCCATCCATTGGAGCCTGGTAAACTTACCCAGTGTTATACTTTAAAGAATACTGACTCTCCCTCTCTCAGCAGCTATCAGTTGTCAATAGTTTCTTATCTTGGGTTAGGGCCCACCACCCCTCCTCTGTGCTGGGATTTTGTCTGGCTTGAGCTTGCATAGGTCTTGTGCATGCTGTCACAACTGGTGTGGGTTTGTATGTCCAACTGCCCTGCTGTCTGGAAGACACTGCTTGTAGTCTTCCACCGCCTCTGGCTCTTACAATGTTTCTGCCCGCTCTTCCACAAAGATCCCTGAGTCTTGGGAGGATAGGGTGTAATATAAGTGACCCTTTGGGGACTGAACACTCCCTAGACTCTAATTCTCTTCAGTTTGACCAGTTGTGGTTTCTGTGTGAATCATTTGCTACAAGAAGAACTTTCTCTGCAGAGAGGTAAGTTACACTAATCTACAGGTATAGCAATAAGTTATTAGTCAGTTTAATACTATGTTCATTTAGCAAAATAATACTAGTAGGTGTTCCTCTGGGGCCTATTACCTACCTTAGTTTGGGGCCCTGATAACAGTATGGCCAGGTATGGGCTCCATCTTACGAAGTGGGCCTTAAATCCAATCAGAAAGTGGTTGATTACTCCCAAAATATCCATGCCACTATTGTGCCAGTAGGCATGTCTTGCCAAGCCAGTTGATGTAGCTCACAGGATTCACAGCTTGGTAAGGTTAATGATTACTTTTCTCTTCCAGCAACATGCATAGCACCTTCCAGGACTATGAAAGCTAGCCAGTAGAAATGAAGCTTCAAGGTCGGTACCAGCTTGATTTCTCCTTGTTTGTTCTACAATTCATGCATGTAGTGTCTTCAGCAGTAGGATCTTACAGTCAAGTTCTGGTGGGTAACCAAGGCCAATGCCAATAACCAGTATTATTGGGGGGGTCTATGGGACCCCCCTGGTCAACAAGTCCAAAAGAGGGAGTCCATTCTTGGCATTGGCTTTTTATTCACTAGTCTATGCTATCTGTTAGACTCATTGTTATCCCCTACCCTATTACGGGAAAACTCCATTTAAACTTTTTAGATGATATATGTCTATATTTTAGGAAACTTCTGTAGTAGTAGGTTTCCATATGACTTTTTCAAAAGGCCTTTAATGTTAGTTATCTCTCTACATACTCGCTCTTCTACCCTCCAGTGAACAGAGCAGCAATGAACACAGATGGACAGGTATCTCTACAGTAGGATATAGAGTTCTTTGGCTATACATCCAAGAGTGGTGTGGCTGGATCATGTGGTAGATCAAATTCTAGCTTTTTAAGAAATCTCCATACCGATTTCCATAGTTTACACTAGTTTGTACTCCCACCAGCAGTGAATTCGTGTTTCCCTTTCCTCACATCTTTGCCACAAAGTTTTCATCATTTTTCTTATCTTAGCCATTCTGACTGGGATAAGATGAAATCTCAATGCAATTCTACTTTGCATTTCCCTGATGGTTAAAGATGTGGAGCATTTTTTTTAATCTTTCTCAGCCATTTGCATTTCATCTTTTGAGAACTCTGGTTAGTTCCTTGCCCCATTTTTAATTGAGTTGTTTGTGGCATTTTTTTATGTTTAGGTGTTTTTAGTTCTTTGTATTGTCTACGCACCATTGACATTGAGATTTGTTCATATTGAGAGCTAGGGATCAAGTTTCATTTTTCTACATGTAGCTATCCAGTTTGAACAGCACCATTCATTAAATATGCAGTCTTTTTTCCATAATGTACTCTTGTCCCCTCTATCAAAAATCAGGTGATTTTAATTCTATTCTGTGGATCACTGTGTTTATTTTTATGCCAGTACCATGCTGTTTTTATTACTATAGCTCTGTATTATAATTTGAAATCAGGGATGGTGATGCTTCCAGCTCTTATTCTATTGTTTAGAGTAATTTTGGCTATCCTTGCCGGGGAGGGCTCCATATGAAATTTGAGATAATTTTTCAATTTCTGTGAAAAATTGTGTTTGAATTTTAATGAGGATTGCATTTAATATGTAGATTGCTTTTGAAAAAATGGTCATTTTCATATATGTGCATATATGTTCCAATCCATGAGCATAGGAGGTCTTTCCATCTTCTAGTATGTTCTACAATTCTTTTGTCAGCATCTTAAACATTTTATTATACAAGTATCTCACTTTATTGGTTAGATGTATTCCAAGATATGTTTCTTGAGGCTATCATGAAATGAATGGGATCATTTCCCTTGTCCCCCTCCCCTTGGTATGTTTGTTGGTGGTGTCTGGGAAGGCTACTGATTTTTGTGTGTTTATTTTATGTCCTGCTACTTTCCTAAATGTGTGCCATCAGCTCTAGGAGTTTTCTGGTGGCATCTATAGATTCTTTTATGTATTAAATCATAGTGTTTGCAAATAAGGAAACTTTGACTTCTTCCTTTCCAGTTTGTATTCCCTTTATCTCCTTCACTTTCCTATTGCTCTAGCTACAAATTTAAGCATATTTTTTAACAGAATGGAGAGAATGCATCCTTATCTCATTCCTGATTTTAGTGGAAATTCTTTGAGTTTTTCTTCATTTAGTAGGATGTTGACTGTGGGATTGTTGTATACTGCCTTTATTATGTTGAGATATGTTCCCTGTATCCCTAGATTCTCCATGAATTTTATCATGCCTGGGTTTTGGATTTTGTCAAAGGCTTTTTCAGCATCATGTAATTTCTGTCTGTGATGGTTTGAATGAAAATGTTCCCCCATAGGCTCCAAGTATTGACATTTTGTCGCCAGTTGGTGGCGCTGTTTTTGCATGCTTTAGAAGGTGTGGCTATGCTGGAGGAAGCATGTCACTAGGAGGTGGGATTTGAGAGTTCATAAGCCTTGTTAGATTTCCAGTCCCTCTCTGCTTCCTGTGCCTGCTTGAAGATGTTGAGTGCTTAGCTTTCTGCTTCTGCTCCGGCCACTCCTACCTCTATGCCCCTCACCATCATGATGGACTCTTGATTCTTCAGGAATTGGAAGTTCAAATAAACTCTTTTATATGCTCCTTTGGTCACAGTGTTTTATCACAGCAGCAGAAAAGTAACTAATACAAAAGTTGGTACCAGAGAGTGAGCTGTGGACTGTGAAGAACTTGACCATGTGGTTTAAGGAAGAATGTGGAAGACTTTGGAAGTTTGGACTAGAAAAGCAGTTATTGCTATAAGCAGAGCTTAACAGGCCATTTTAGTAGGAGCCTGGAAGAAAGTAGTGCTGAGAGCAAAGTAGTCCCAGAGGGAAATAAGGGCTTAAGCATCAACTGGGCTATTTTGGCAAAGAGTCTGGCTACAGTCTACCTAACAGCCTAAAAG